AGGACAGGTTCTGAATGCGCATTATTCATGTTTGCTTCGTCGATCTCGTGACTGATATACCTTCCTTCTTATGGCATTAGCGACCTAGAAAGTAGGTGTAGTTTATGTCAGTATGAGTGGTAATCGCAGTTACTGTGAATATCAGTATTCTCATCTCCATATTTCTCGCCGTTTGTGATACACTGATCTATAAATAACAAATAGGATGCTCGAAGAACTGTGACGATCGACGAGCCAGCATTAAAATTGGTTGAGGCATCTGCGCAGAATGTATCAACGTCAACACCGCACTGTCTTTGATGTTTCTTTCGGAGTTGCGGATAGATTTCATCACAGCCGCCATATTGCAGTTACATCAATAATATATAGTATAATTCGAATTTTCCAAGGCCGGCCCAGTACGATCTTCGCACTGCACATACTACCAGATTTTCCGAGTACATCACGTGGTATGCGCTAGTACAAACTGAGAATTAGCATTTATCATGATATCGGAAATAAGTATCGACTGATAAGATGATAATCGAATGTCAACTGCACCTATTGTTATTCGTATCCGCAGGGCTCAGGGTTTTTCTGAATATTTTGTCTGTACTACTCTGTTTACTATACTCAACATTTGAAACTCACTGACTTCAAAATTGACAAAGTCGCGAATAATTCGGACGAATGTTTTCATTGAATCATGGACATGATAATTTTTGTTTCTGAGGTTCGTGGGGAAAAAATCCAGCGGAACTCTTTGGATAGAGCACTCAATCATACTCAACTCCACAATGTGCGCTAACATATCCTGATTGCTACCATATTACACTACTGAAATGAGATCTAAGTTGGTAGAACTGATATGAATAAATGTATTTTCATTATTATTCTTTTCGTTTCATTTGGCCTCTTCCGAAGATATTTCTTGTGAAAATCGTAAAACGCAAGACCGAACAAGTCTAACCATAACCTGAGCTTGTCTACCTGTTCACATTGGGCACAACATCTCTTTGGTAAATTTTTGAAAGAAAAGGTTTTTGCCTCCAGAGCACCAGGGCTATCCGGCATTTTTTTTGATTTTTCGACATCGAAATAAACCTCACTCTCTGGTAAACGCCAACTAATGAGACCAAAATGATAGTTCCTCGTTAGCTCTCATTGTATGTTGCATGTTTCTTCCATGTATATCCACTGAAGTTGCAGCGTTTTCATGTATCTTTTTCCAATCAAGAATAACGTTTCATGAAAAATCAATAATAAAGAAGCTTGGTCGGTCATTGTGGAATTGGCAAGATTATTTCAAATGAACACTAGTAAATAACTGTTTTCGAGAGAGGTAATGCCTGAGGAATCTTTCTCTGTATTTATTAATTAATTAATTCCCATTTTGGAATATCTATCACTTTATCAAAATTATTTCGATAATTCCTGGAATACCATATCTATTATAGCCGATCTTGAAACAAGGATTGAAAGTTTGATGTACAATCTTCTCTGCGATATCTAGTCCGTCGGAAGTTCGCCATCCCTAATTGACAATAAAATATCCACCAACTGCATGAAAGTTTGAAGTTATTATGAAGTTTCCCAATGACAAAGGGGATAAATCATAGAATCGGACACAGGAGCTCCAAAGTTCCTCGATTACTTGATGCAACATTGTCGTTTTATTTTCTAGTACATCCTCTGGTGCATCGAATAGTTTCGTACTCACAAAATAATTTGACGCTTCAACTTGTCAGTGATTAAAAAAGTTCAGAGTGATCCAAGGTAGATAGTACAGGGTTAAAATAACCTATATTTGAGGAGTCATTGGACAATATTTGTGAATTTACCTGGGTTGTGAGAGGATCACTCGTTTCAGAGAGTATTTGAAAATTTGTTTTAACTATCATATACGCTGTGCACAAAAAACGGCCAGTACTGTACCTTCTCAATTTTTCGAGATCGGATTATGACATTTGCTGGGTAACAAGTATAACAGATTGCTCATTTATTGATGAAAAATATTCGTTTGATCACTCTCGGTAGAACCGGAAATAACCTCAACTCTTGGTTGTATCGGAATATCGATGTAAACAGATTACTCTATTCAGATATAAATTGTTGGGGTTGCTCCTGGTTCTATCAGAAGCGATGAAAAAAATATTTTCTTGTATCACCTCGTGTTATGGGGAGTAGGAAAACACTTGTATTAAATCTTTCAATTTACATAATTCGATCAGGTGTACGGACTCACACACATCTGATGATATCCCGTATGGATTGAATCATATCTAGCACAAGTCTATTCTTTTTCACAAACAGGTGAACAAAGAATAACAGCCAATGGTATATCCAGAAGTGTATCTTAGAGGTTGAATATCTATATCTTTCAACAATTTCATTGACGATGGTGATTGATGGTGGCTACAATAAATTTCAGAATTATACGGAATGAAATCTAAGCGCTTTACTTGAGAGCAATTTCAGCAATCATTTCTTCAACATAAGTTTAACTTCATTTTTACCGGATCACACAGAGGGTATCGGCCAACACCAGTAACTTCTGCATTTGTAAAGGGATTTTTCAGAAATTCGGTACAGTTATGAAAGGAAACATTTCGGATTTGATGACATCACAATCCAATATGGCAGACTTCCGGTTTATCTGGAAATGCCAGCAACGTTGTTTTTTCAAATGGAACAGTCTGTATATGTTCACGTATTTTAGTTCAACAGGTCAAAACAAGTGCAATCCTCATGTCAATGAGCCACACATACTATAGAGAAACATAATGTTTTCTGAAAAATTATTTATTGTGTTACTTATCGATTTTGATTGAGAATTCATGTTTTCAAATTGAACCCCCTCAGGCCTCCTACATGTCTCTCTTGTACATACATCAAGAAAAAAAATTACATATAATTTCTGTATTTCGGTGCAGTAACAAATTGTACACATTCAAAAATCAACAACTGGTTTCATGAATTCCCTTGCAGTTCAAATAATTTCCCAAGTGAGCTGTGGAGAACGACATATCTGAATCTTACAATACACAGGGTGTTCCATATGAAAAAACAACGTTGCTGGCATTTCCATATAAACCGGGAGTCCACCATGTTGAATTATAATGCTATTAAATCCCAAATGGTTGCTTACACAACTGTACCAAGTTTCAGAAAAATTTGTTCGCGAATGCAGAATTTACAATGTTGGCCTAAATGAATTTTTCTGTATTTATAAGTTGCGAAGGTTTTTCTCTAGTGGGGTACTCCAGTTCCACACAACGACTAACGATACGAAATTATTATGGATTCATACTGATATTGCAATTGCAAGTTTCAGTCACAAGGAGGGGTCGCCACTTTCTTGAAAAGTTCAAGATCTTGTCTTGATCTTCTCTTGAGTAGTAATTTTAGATTTCAAGACAAGACAAGGAATTCCATGTCATTACCCAGAATTCTGGTCAAGAAAACAAGAAATCTTGAAATTTCTTGACTAAGAATGAAAACGATAAAACGTGCATGATGAAATGTGAGATTATATCAATATAATATACTTTTAACCACCACTTCACAAACTGGCATCATTGCAAGTGCACGACGTCGTTTGCACTTTGCACAGATTAACAGTGTAAAAAAACAAGAATCATAGATTATGCAAGAATGAAGATTAGGGAACCACCAGATTGACGTGTTAGCATGCAACAGGGTTGCCAGCTCAATGAATTTTCAGGAGAGCTACTGATTTTCATATTGATCTACTCATCTACTGAAACAGTCATAATCTGCTGGAAACAATTCTGACACTCATTCATTATTACAATCAACTATTATTATTGATCTTCAGTTAATCACATAGACTCATAATATCTTGGGTGATATTTGAACATGCTCTATGAATAAATTTTCTGGCACCACTGATTATGAATTCGAATGCGTCTAAGCGCTTGATATTTTGGTAATAAAGTACTCACTGCTCTCGCAGGAGAAGAGGAATTTTATGAAGAGTAATGTTACAGGAAAAAACATAGTTTTTTACGTCATAGCTTCATTTCATTATCCTTTGATTTGTATAGCATAAAATGAATCTACTGGAATCTACTGAATTTCTGACAAGGTATAACTACTTATCAAATAAAAATCTTTAGGTGGCAAGGCACGCAACGCAATGAGAAGTTCGCCGTGGAATCACCATGTACGATGTCACCAGCCAATCAAGAAATTCCAAGCTCCTGAAATTTCTTGAATCAACCCAGCAAACATTGAACTAGCGGGAGAGTCCGGCCTAGTGCAGGCTAGTCTGGGAAAGTGACGATGCCGGGGTATTGGTAATGGGCCAATGATTTTCCTATGCCAAGTAACCATCAGTTAAAAATACGGTGATGGCCTTGTGATGGTAAGATGTCTGGAACTAATTGAATACTTACGAGATCTGGCCCTTTGCTGGCCAATTTCATGTTCGCTACTCGTCCCCCTGGTGGAAGTTCTGTGAACATCAACATCAACAATCAGCTGATCAATATTAAATGTGACTAAGATGACTGACTCTCGTGAGTGGTGATCGCGTACTAGTTTGTTTATTTCGATGAATTATTGTGCTCCTCTCTTTCCCTGGTAGTTATTTATGATGTCAGGAGTATTCTCAATTGATAATGATAGAAGACAGATTCTCCAATTATGATAATATTGAGAAGTATCAATCTACCTACATAGTGTTTCGAATTGAATTATTGAATGCATGTGTTTGGTATCTCGTAACCTCATAATGATCATAATAATTTGAGTGGACTGTACTTCTCCAAAAGCAACTATCATTTTTAACTCGATTGTTGCTATCAAAAGCAATCTAAGGTCATGTGAACCATATATAAACAAATGATGCATTTTATATTTCAGAAGTACCTTACAACGAAAAATCGACTTTGGAGGAATGCTACCCAATAAGATGTGGATATCACATACCAACCAGAAAGCAGTCACTCCGAGAAGTTTCATCGTTGAAGAACAGAGAGGTTAAGAAGATATTATTGTGTCATTCATAAAATTGTTTTCTCGAAATCTGGTATGATGAGAGGGTTATATTGTGAAATAAAAAGGTACAAGAAATGAATGTCAAGAAGAACGTCAAGACAAGAATGTTCGAAATTTCTTGACTTCTTCTCAAGACAAGACAAGAAGAATTTTAGTCATGGCGACCCCTAGTCGCAAGTCATGAGATTTCAATCGTTAGGGTCCTCACGACTTGCAACTCTCTTTTTCTTTCCATCGGTATCTATGATATGTCCCTAACTCTCTGATTGGAGTGACCCACTGACGTAACAAATCTCTGAAAGGAACCCGAATGATCCAATCCAACCCCTACTGATCCACTTTCCATTATGACAATACCTTGTAAAAAATACAGCAAACTTCCGACGGACCATTCCTAACAGATCTGGCCAGATCATAGGGACCCAACGAATCTAACCTAAAACAAAACGAATTATTCCTCTGGCCACCCCAAATCCTCTCCCACTAGCTCGTAGAACCGCTGGTTGTGCTCCCCGTAGTACTTTCTCAGCCTGGAGACCACCAGAGCATCGACTCTAGGGTGCTTCCGCCCTTTGGTTTCCCTCAGACATCTGTCCGAGGTTTCGTTCCTCAGGCAGTAGAAGCCCTTGGTCTCGTTGAAGTAGAAATTCTCGGTGCTTATTCTAGGCTCGAGGCCTAGGAAGCGTTCTATCTTCTGGAGCTGGGAGACCGGGTCTTCTATCAGGAGGTCTCCGTTAACGATCAAAATTTGTTCCCTGGGAAACACCTCCAGCCATCTAAGATAATAATAATATTGAGAATGATGAAGATGATAGTAATGAGAATATTTTTATGATAGTAGTGACAAGTACAAATCCAAATATTTCAAAACACCGCTTGTTCCAAAATCCATAGGACAAAGATGCTTTTTGTATTTAGTACCAAGATCTTTCAATTTTATTCCTGTCGAAATAAAAGAGACATCTTCTTATAGAGGGTTCAAGAAAAAGCTAAAAAAATATTTACTTAATTCAAACAGACTTACTGTTCATGAGCTCGTGGAGGCTGGTGTAACAGTGTAATCAGATATCATTCCATCCCAGCTCATTAGTTTAATGTCTTCCTTCAATTTCTCCTTAAATATTTTCTATATGTTGAATTGCATGTTCATTTTGTAATTTTCATTTTCCATATTTATTGACCACTATGTTGGTTGTACTAGGCATGTGTATTTCATCAAACTTCATTTGCCTTCATTATATTATTTTTATATATTTTCCTGTACTTGTATGTAAAAAAGCTGTTTCGAATTGTATGTGTTTTGTATTTTACATTTTCGCATTTGGTAACCGATTTGTCTGCTTTGTTGCTTGTATACTGGACATGTGTTCTTTACCAAATCCAGTCATGTTAGAGAATCTTAATTTTAAAATTATACATATTTTTCATTCGCTTCACTCAATATTTATCGATACTAATTTTAAAAATAGGCTACACTCACACCACAGACAGTCTTTGACTTAGTGGTTTTCTGTTAATTTGTGAAAAATCGCCGTCATCTAAATGGAATTGTATTTACACATTTTTTTTATACCAATAAACTATTATTATTATTATTATTATTATATTATTATTATTATCATATGTAAACAGCATTTTCAGACAAACATATTCCACTGATTATTCCTACTAATAAGCTAGTTATTGAAACCAAATTGGGACATATGAGTACATCAAAAATTGAGATAATTACACTGTACTTCAGAACTCCATTCAATTCTCCAATAGTTGAGTTTTTAGATCATCTTGAATAGTTTCAATATTGTCCGGTCGGAATGATTTATTGAATCTCTCCATCATTACCCTGAAACTTTCTCGCATCACATAATTCTCATTCTTCTTTCTTTATACTGATCATTTTCAATTTTCCTATTCAAAAATATCCAGAAGACAATGAATCTACACTAACCAGCTTATCTGAATTCCAGTGACATTGATAAGGAAATATAAATGCTTTTTCAGCTCTCACTACTTATGTTGACAATATGGTCATACCAAATGAACTTCCAGATAAAGGGATATCAAGCAAAATGTTCTTGCTCCTGTCCTCACATCAGCGTAGAAATGTATGAAATTCTTTCGGCGCCTTTCTCCGTTTCATGAATGTTCCTAAAGTCATCATGCTCTATCTAGATCTATATGCCTTATATTAGATGTGAGTAAGGGGTTACGGATATTGGGGCATTAGATAATTTACCTCCAGGAAGTAGGATTTTCACAAATTCATATGTATACCAATCGGTCTGCAAAAGTTGCGCTTGCGTAGTGTGCATCAGTAGGCTCTGTGTATTTTTTTTTGTTCAGGGCGGCCATCGAAGAATGCGAGATACTGTATCTGTATTATCAATCGTAGAGGCTTGTGGCTAAAAAAATTATCACTAAAACAACCAAGAGGAAAACCTGGAAAATATCTATAAGTTTCTGAAATGACCACTAGGTAGCGTAACTGCAATGTTAAATTTAAAAAAATGATATGTGTCTGATGATGATGTTGTGAATTGAAGTTGTTTCTGGGAATTGAAGTCGAGGATTATGTGAACCTGTTTTGTTCAACAATTTTGCTGTAGCTCTAAAAATAAAGTGTTGGTTGGTATTCGAAGGTTTCCGTTGTATACACCATGTATCTTCAAAACGGCTCAGCCGATTTTAGCAAACTTGGGCTAGTTGGAAGGGGATATTTATGGGCTTGAGATATTCAACATTTTGTCAGCTTCAAATGTCATACCAAGAGGCGAAATTGAAGCTGCAGCATTTACAAGGACCTTTCTTTCTCAAATCGGACCTTCTTAGGATTTCAGGGCCACAAATATATAATAGAAAGAATCATCAGTTTGAATAAATGAAAATTCAAAGGATCTTCGTATGGAATTACCTTTGCCCTAAATTTTAGGAAAGGAACGAGGTATCGAGATGCGGTTTTCACGAGCTTGTTTAGGCATTATTTAGCAACTGATTCATAACAAAAAAATCATACCAATGCCACTAATTTTTTTGAGAAAATCAATCATAAAGCCCTTCAGCTGTGACATGTAAAACTGACAAAATTTCAAATATCATAATATCTGAAGCCTAGGAATAGCATTTTTCGACTAGCCTGAGTTTGTTGCAATCAGCTCAGTCGTTTCGAAGATACACAGTGTTCTTAACGAAAACCTTGGAACACCCCCATCACTTTATTTTTAGAGATACAGCGAAAATTGTCGAATAAAAAAATTCAGATTATCGTCGACATTGAAGATCAGACTCTACAATGGATAGTTCCTCAGATACAGTACCTAGCATTCTTAGTTGATCACCTCGTACACATCCTCATAAGAAATACAATGGTCTATATAACAAAGTACGAAAGTATCCGGGTTCGAAACCAATTTCACATATTTTTAGTTTTGTTTTTTCGATGTGATTATTCGATGAAAATACTGAGGAGGCATTAACTGGCATCATCAGAATACATATCAGTGTTACAAGGTTTCTATCTGTTTTCTGTTCATGATATTATTACGAAACTACGTTATAGACTCCGCGCCGCTTCGCCCGAGAGTGGAGCAAGTCCGAATATTTTGGCGGAGGTTCTCGGAAGATTATGGAAACGCCACAATTCTTACTTAGGTCAGATACATTTCATCAGGTAGCCGGACGGGAGTGGTTTTGGAAAGAGAGTCATAATAAAATAGTGGGATAGTGAATTTGTTGATATAAAGATTGGGAAGTAACGATATTATTGTGATTCTGCATCGTGTATTTCACACTGTATTAGTATGTTTGTATTTGAACAAATTGTTGTGTTTTCGACTGAGATCGAACCCGGACATAGATCGTATAAGTGGTGTCAGAAGTAAGATTTTCTGGAACATTCAAACGCATGTCAATATGCCGAGTTAGAAGTGAAATTAAAAGAAGAAAAGCAAGAGAAAAAGAATTGGGAGTCGGAAAGCGTCGTTAAGTAGAGAAATTGGAAGAAGAAATGAAGCGAAGTCAAGAACGAAGATTAGACAAAAAATAGCGTCGCCGAGAAATAATAAAAGAAAAATTTCGTCTAGAAGAAAAATTAGAAGAAGTGGAGCGACGTCAAGAAGAAAAATCAGGAACAATTACTTTAAGACGATAATGAAGATACTAAGAAAATCGTTAGCGGATTGAAGTTTGGCGTGACAGGGTTGCCACATCGAACACTTCCGTGAAACCACTGACTTTCGATGGAGAGTCATCATGGTAAATATATCAGAGACAGTTTGCAGCTGCAGCTACGGCTGATGGATGAAATAACGAAGCAAAGGCCACTGCCCTCATCGTAGCCTCAAGAGGACCAGCTTGATGAATGTTTCACATCATTATATTAAATTTAATGCCTGACGACTGGTACTGGTACTGGTGGGGGACGTTTCCACGTCAGCAACTAGTCCCCAATGGGACCTTTTTGCAAACCCCAAGTGTTTTCAATGACTGATGTGGTTCGCTCAAGAGAGCTTTCAGGCACTGCCCATCAGCTCTCTTTTCAGAGTTTTTCAGCTGTGTTTTGTAGGCTAGTAATGTACTCACTATCATATGCGCAGTGGCAGGCCTGCTAACTATCCTCGTTAACCCCCGAGACCGAGGTCTACTTAAGCAGCTGGCCCGCTCTCACGCTCAGCTGGTAGTTTTCCACACCCACCTACAAACACCGTCCTACTTCTTCTCTGATGCTCACAACCACATCATCATATCTTTCTGCGTGTTTTGTGTAGGCTTTGTTACTAACTTCATGTGCCACTTTAGGAGCAGCACTGTTAATTGGAACGCAACAGCGAATCGTGCAGGACTATCCCCAGCCGATGCTCTGAAACTTTACAATATTCAATTCGTAAATAAAATATTGAAAAAAGTTCCTTGCCCGTGCTGGGAATCGAACCCACGACCTTGCGGTCGTGAGATGGACGCTCTTCCACTGCACCAATCCCGACTGTCGAAGAACCATAGGGTTCGAGAAATGTTCATGGACTACTTCCAGGGACTCTACTTTTCAAATATCAAACCTGTGCATGTAGTTATGGTACAGCGATATGGCCAGTGGTCGATACGCTTCGTTGATGGACCCGTTGGAAAACAGCGCCAGCTGCTCGAACGACTTGGTGGGCGATGTTGACATTGAGGGGGAAGCTGTTGCCGCGTTTGCCCGCAGCTGGGTATAGTCCGAAATAGCCCTGGTGACCGGCTCTCGGACTATCAGCAGGAGTTTCACGCTGGCGTTCATGGCACGGATGCGCTCTGGCACCTACGGGAAAAGAATGATTTCAATTCATCAAGCAGTGAAATATCAGAGATCGTCGTAACAAAAATCACTGTAGAATTTCTAGTCGATATTTGATCAATATCATTGATGAGAAAAGTTCTTAATTCGCACCATTCACAAATGGTATCACAAATAACAAAGCTGGCACTGTCATATGTTCATGAGGTATAAGATTTTGTACAAACAATAGTTAAGTACATGGATAATATGATAACAAATAATGTAACAAAATGGAGTATAGTTAATTCCTGTTTACTAAAATGGTACCTTACTTACTGATAATTATATATGAGTATGGACGAACATATATGATTTTTAAAATGAGGAAATATGTATAGTCGTATTTTCCTATTTGTATATTTCATTATTCTTTATCAATACATTCAAGCTTGGTTGAGGAGATCATGTTGAGGTTGTCTCTGAATGTCTCTGATAACTCAGTAAAAATGACTTATTGGTCCTGACAACTGCAAAACATTCGGTACCGATTGCTGATGCTGATGTTGTTTTCACTTCAGGTATCTGAAATGTCCCAAGAAGGGTATGAATGTATTTGCTATGTTGGTGACCTAGTGATCCCAACAAGGAGGACAGTAATTTAGTACAATATACCCCTCGGAAAGGAAGTGGTATTTTAAATCCCTCGACAAAAATTTTATAGCCCGACCAACGGGAGAGCTATAATTGTATTCTAATGCTCAATTCATTTTGTATCTGTCTGTTATCTTTTATCTTTTTCTTGTGTTTACGTAAATACCGGGTGGCCCATTCGAGACGATCCACCCTGAATAACTCTTGAACACATGATAGAATGAAAGAATGCGCAGACACGTCAACTTTTATTTCTTGGGGGACATAATTTGAGATGGGTTTGTCATCTGTCATGACTTCCCCCTCCCCTAGAGAATCACCCTTTTAAGAATTTCAAATGGGAACATGGGTCGAGTGATACCTCATTCGAAAGGTATTTTCACCCAGATAATAACTGTGTTTTGTTTTTGAAAATTGATTGATTAGTTTTTGAAATAATGGGTGTAGCCCTTTCAAGACGATCCACCCTGAATAACATTTGAACACATGATAGAATGAAAAAATGCTCAGACACGTCAACTTTAATTTCTTGGGAAACATAATTTGAGATGGGTTTGTCATCTGGCATGACTACCCCCTCCCCTATAGAACCACCATTTCAAGAATTTAAAATGGGAACATGGGTCGAGTGATACCTCATTCGAAAGGTATTTCCACCCAGATAATAACTGTGTTTTATTTTTGCACATTAGTTAATTCATTTTCGAGATATTGATAGCGAATATTCAAGAAATATTCCTATTCCTTCGATATCAATTAATATTAGGACTTCAAAGAATATTCCTTGTGGGCAATAATTTTTCCATGATCTCATAACGGTTTAGTAACTGTTCGTTCAGCAGAAGATAGATATGAAGATTAAAATCAAACCGTAAAAATTATATCAATACAAAAAAATCTGACTACGTATCTCCATAGATCCATGTACACAAGGAAACTGTACAAGTTTTTGCCCATGGTTTAGATTTGTCGTACAGAAACTTGGTTTCATATTTATCGAATTCGAAACCGTAGAAATTTTCGTTGATTGTTAGATCCCATATTCGAATTGTTCAGAATGGTGTACACAAAAGATGAGAAAGTAGATATTATTTTCATTTTTGCTTCACACAATAATTGTGCCAGATTGACAGCTAGATTATTCAATGAAAGACATCCGGAAAGAAATGTGTCACATAAGTAAGTATAGGCATGACAATAAACTTTGCTTCTTCAAAATTATTTTCGCATTTAGGTATATTCTGGAAATTGTGAGAAAATTTCGTGAGACAGGATCGGTTGACAACAATAAGAGGCATCGCATCAAACCAGTTACGGATGAAGTGAATCAGATAGGTATTTTGGGACAGATAGCAGTTGATCCGACTTTATTAGTTCGCCAACTCAGCCTTTCTACTGGAATTTCAAGAAGTTCGATTCAAGGGGTCCTCAAAACTCATAATTTCCATCCGTATAAGTTACAACTCCATCAGGAGCTCAATGAGGATGACTTTGATAGGCGTAATGAATTTTGCGAAATAATGACGGCAACGATCCAAAGGAATCCAAATTTACTGAAACACATTTGTTTCAGTGATGGGTGTTGTTTTCATCTAAATGGTTTCGTGAAAAGACAGAATTGTCGCTATTGGAGCGATCACAATCCGCATATTCTCAGAGAAGAACATACTCAAAACCCTCAGAAGATCAACGTGTGGGCTGGCATTCTGGGGAATACTATTATTGGGCCAATAATTATTGATAGGAATCTAGATGGTGCTGTTTATTTGAATATGCTAGAAAATCAAATCGAGCCACTCATAGCAGATGCTATCTACAATGATCCAACTCTAGATGCAGAAAATGTTCATTTTCAGCAAGATGGTGCTCCGCCCCATTATATTATCCCAGTGAGAGAATGGTTAAACCAAACATTTCCGGGAAAATGGATTGGTCGAAGAGGTTTGATAGAATGGCCGGCTAGATCACCTGATCTTGCTCCCAATGACTTTTTTCTTTGGGGACATTTGAAGTCCATAATCTACAAATCATCTCCTGTTGATCTTTATGACTTGGAAGAGAGAATTATCAGAGAATGTGCTACAATTCCACAAGAAACATTTACCCGAGTTCAAGAAGAGTTTCAAAATAGGCTCTACCATTGTTGAGCTATGAACGGAGCACATTTTGAGCAACTTTTATGACTTTAGGATGTTTGAACTCGACCTATTGTTCAAAAGTTCTCCAGGGTGAACCATCTTGGGTGGACCACCTCTTGAATTTGACGACTCAACATTTTTTCATTTTATCATGCGTTCAAAAGTTATGGATCGTCAATCATGTGTTCAAGAGTTATACAGGGTGGATCGTCTTGAATAGGCTACACCCATTATTTCAAAAACTAATCAATCAATTTTCAAAAACAAAACACGGCTATTATCTGGGTGGATATACCCGAGTGAGGTATCACTCGACCCATGTTCCCATTTGAAATTCTTGAAAGGGTGGTTCTCTAGGGGAGGGGGAAGTTATGACAAATGACAAATCCATCTCAAATTATGTCCCAAAGAAATGAAAGTTGACGTGTCTGGGCATTCTTTCATTCTATCATGTGTTCAAATGTTATTCAGGGTGGATCGTCTTGAATGGGCTACACCCATTATATCAAAAACTAATCAATCAATTTTCAAGAACAAAACGCAGTTATTATCTAGGTGAAAATACCTTTCGAATGAGGTATCACTTGACTCATGTTCCCATTTGAAATTCTTAAAAGGGTGGTTCTCTAGGGGAGGGGGAAGTCATGACAGATGACAAACCCATCTCAAATTATGTCCCCCAAGAAATAAAAGTTGACGTGTCTGAGCATTTTTTCATTCTATCATGTGTTCAAGAGTTATTCAGGGTGGATATCGTCTTGAATGGGCCACCCGGTATGTATTTATTATAATTGTGACAATGCTATGGTACCTGCTCTATACTATTTATTTATATAGATTCATTTGATTAGTTATTTTATATTCATCATGACTTCATCAATGAGATGAAAATCTTCCGATAATAATGTCTATTTTGATTTCATTCGATTTGATATTCGATGATAAAAGCCGCAATTGCTACAGACATTTCGAAAATACATTTCCGAATTAACTCCTATTGCCAGAGGGATTTAAAGTACCACTCTTTCCCCTGAGAGATTCTTGTCGTATCTTTTCATAGGAAAAACGTGGTACTGTCACGGGAGCTTCTTTTCGTCAAGTGAACTTTTCATTTCAATTGATCATTCTAGAACAAGTGATTTTGACATGGTTTCTTGAGGGGCACACAAACTATCTGTTAGGTTACCTTTGATAAGAATAGCCCTGGCCATCCCTGCCACTTCCACAATATAATAACAGTTTCTCCAAACAAAGTTATGAAATTCTTTCTGGTTCCAACTCGGAATCCAAGGAAAACGATCCCACTAGTTCTGGTTTTATATGACAAATCTTGACAAAATACAATTTTTGCCCCTCAGCAAACAGTCAAATGACGTAATTCTGGAATGATTAATGGGGATTTTGTTGCTTGAGAAATAATTTTGTGGCAGTCTATTCGAGTTTGATTTCCTGAAGGCAAGAAAACTCGGATTAAAAATGTTTATTTCACTTCGAAACAAAAAAATTCTCGAGTGTAGTTCAGGAAGACAAATTAATGAATTCGTAATTCATAATCATTATTGTTGATCAATCATTCAATTCTCCTCTTGGAAACTCTCCGCATCGTGACAATTCCACATTGACATATTTGGTCCCGTTTAGTCGCTGGGCAAAGTTTTTGCATGATATGTAATACAACAAGTGATATCATTTTGGAAGATGATACATCAGGCTAGTAGACAGGTGAATGTATGTCTATAGTGGTCTATACAGGGTGACATTAAAATGCATACAAATATTCCAAACCCTACGGAAACTCGACATAGGTATACTATCGAATGATATCAATAAATAAAATTTGGGGCGTGACCCCTTTTTCCAACCAGTTCCACATTGCAGCAATTCTGACGTCCCCTCAGTACAATTTCCAAGTGGAAGTTCCATCATTTAAATTGTCTCAATGTGGGTATATAGTTGATTGTTTTTTTCGTTTTTTGTTTTTCAAAATTAATTTTGCCGGTTATTATGAGACTGAGGAAAACTCAGATATTTAGTAGATATTCGTCAAACTGTATTATACTGAATAAATGCACTTAGTTAAAAAAAGTATCGTATAAGTCGTATATATTTATACGGACTTGGTTTTGAGTGCTTCCTTATCAATAATTCCCTAGGAATCTTTGTAGAAACCATAAATCGACCAAATTGACTAAAATAAAAACATACAAGGATTTGAATCAATGCCTACCTAACCTGTGTACGAACTTATTTCTT